CGGACGACTCCGGGAGATCACGTGACCGAGTTGTTCCGGTTATAGCATAAAAAAACAATGGCGCCAAGACAAAAACACTGATAAATGATCGACATTCAACGGGAAAAAAAAACACATTGCCACTTCTGGCGATCGAAGGGAAACACGGAATTAGTCGGGATATCTCAACAACAAACAGCTCACCAAACCCCATGTTTCGCAAACTTTCGCAACCTTATTTTTTCGAGGGTTGAAAAAAACAAGAAGTAATCTAAAAACGACATTAAAAATTATGAAAACTCGCTAAAACTCCGACCCGTTGCATGATTTCCGGTACACTGAAGGTCACCCTGCAGACCGACTTGTTTGCGCATGCGTAGTGAACGAAATATTTTACTGCGCAGATATGAAATTTTTTTTTCAAGTTTTCCGTTTCCAGCAAAGCGGTTGAAACGAGCGTATCGGCGGCAACTAACATGGAGTATGACTAATGTCGTGGAAACAAAAGCGAAAGCACTGTAAGATAAACTAAGACAAAGGTTTTTTTAATCCTCTTAGTTTCGTTGTTCTTCCTGGGGTTTATAGTTCCATGGTACCACTGAAAAGATGGAGTTGAGCCCTTTCAGTTTTCCTAGCATTGTCAGATAACCTGTCCATTGTTGCATCCATTGAGCCATTTGTATTAAAAGTCACTCCAAGATATGTATAATGTGTTGTTTTTTCTAGTTCCTCATTCCCAACTTTGATATGCATCCCTTCTGTGTGGTGTCCATTTTTGGCAAATATAATTGATTTGGTCTTTTTAATGTTGATTTGTAATCCCCATTTATTCAGGTAGTTGTGGGTAGTATCCATCAATTGTTGTAGTCCTGGTGCACTCTCAGACATAAGTACAATATCATCTGCATATAGTAGGCATGGGATTGACTTCTTGTTCAATGATGGTTGATTTAATGGTTGTTTGTTTAGTTCATCGATAAGGTCATTGATGTAAATATTGAACAGTGTTGGGCTTAGTGGACAGCCTTGTTTCATTCCATTGTGTATATGGAATGGTGTTATTCTGTCACCCAACTTTAGTTTGTATTTCTTATTGTTGTACCGGTACATACTTTCAATTAACTTGTATAAGTTGCCATTTATATTGTCGCTTTTTAGTTTGCTTATATACATGTATATAAAAATTAATACAAAGTTCTAAGATCAGCAATAGATTGCATTGCGTGATAAAATGAATCTCATCGTCAATTGTATCACATTCTGTGCATTTTCCCTAATTCTTATCTAATTTTGGTCTCAGATGTCATCCATTTTAAATATGCAGCCTGTGTAAACTCAATCATTGAGGTAAATCATGAAGGTAAAATCAATCTGAGTATGGAGATAAAATAGATAATGTCTGTCCATTGCTTCAATATAAATAATGGTGAAAATTCTATTTTGTCTTTTCAGACGTGTAGTTTGTGAGTCCTCAATTTTGAGTCTTGGCTTGGTTGTTATTTGTTGAATTAATCATTTCTATAGCCAGGAATTTTTGTAGAGATTTTTTTGTTGATTTGCTAGTGCATCATAATAATAATAATATAAGCTTATTACGAGGATACCTCAAAGTATGCACGAAGACAGTACAGCAGGAGTAACAACTGACGCACAGCCGCAATCCAAAAAGTTTAGAACAGAATCAGCGAACTTCTTTGTGTGGAATCCGGTCAAACCCTGGTGACAGCCATGTTTATTTTTATTATTAGAGGATGCTTACATGCATTATCATTCCATATTTGGAATTCGCATTTCCTAATATGGTAGGATGAAAATACCCTGAGAAATACAGCGAAATTACGGCACGCTGTAACCTATGGTGTAACAGTGACAGATGTATAATAACTCATTATCATGTTGGAATGATGCAGCATTTAGTAAGCAAATTGTTGTTGTTCAATTCTCTGTAATGTTAACCAAAGTCAAAATCTTTGTAGCAATGTTCTATGTTTGGAATATTAAACCTGTGCATTCTTTATACTGTTCCTAACTTCCTGTTATGTATTTGTATCTGGGTTATAAATACATGTACTGAATTTGCTTTGTTAGTAGAGCATACACTCATGTTATAAATTACAAAGGTGTTTCCATGGTGACAGTAAGTAATATAAATAAGCAATATCAATAATTCAATATACAACATACATACAAAATGTATGTATGCTTCTATTGGATTTGCGCTTCTAATAAAGAAAATACATCTGGAGGCTGCCTCCTCTCCCAATTAGGCTTAAATATGCGGGACAGTTGTATTTTATTAGGAATACTTATTATAGATAAACACATTACATTATGTATGATATATTTTATTTTATTTGCAATGTACACAAACAAAAGTAAAAGACATCACTACGAGACTAAAACTGATCTAAAATACAGAACAAAGCAAAGCTGGAAAGATAAACTTGTCACAACTGGCGAGAATTTCAATACTCAATTTTAAAAAAGTGGCTCATAAATAAAGAGCTGATAAAAATTTGTCTACATTCTTTGATAATGCTATTTTGACAATGAAATAGGTAATGTTTTTCATCTCCAATCTTGTTACAATCATGTCTTTCTTCTCTCTTAATCCCTGAATGTCTCCCAGTTTCAACTGGTATGAATAGAGAAATGCAGAAAAAAATATTAGCATCAAGACCTAGCTCAAAACTACGCCACAAGTGAAGGAAAAAATAATTTGCCACCCCCACCCCCGCTGCCCAGAGT